CCTCAGATTGTGAGTCGAGCGCCTTATCCACCTGGCCATGCCGGGCCTACTTGGGCTGAACTATTTTAACAAGAAGGATCCGTTTGCACATATATGCGTTTAGAAAGAACTATTTTTACTTTACACTACACTTATAAAGTAATAACGATCATTAGAAGAGGTGATTAGTGAAATAGTTGGACAAGGCCAGAACTCGTCCATTTATTTATTTGTTTGTTCGTTTTAGAATAAAGCCACATTGGGCCCTATGCTGTGTCCACTGGGAATCGAACCTCAGTTTTGAACGTTGTAAGGCCGTAAACTTACCGTTGACCCACCGGGGGACACCCGTTTATGTGACGTTTTTATTTTTAACAGTTCACAACAAGTACGTTTGTGCTGATATTAGTGTAAAACTATTCAAGGTTTATCTACACGAAGCCGTCCCTAATTTTGATTGTTTGTTTGCAATCAAGCACAAAGCTACACAATGGGCTATCTGTGCTCTGCCCACCACGGGTAGCGAAACCCGGATTCTAGCGTTGTAAGTCCGCAGACATATCGCTGTGCCATTGGGGGGGGGGCTAATTTTGAACTGATACGCTAGAAGAAAGATATATATAGACAAGAGCACCCATTGCAAGCTCTTTGGCTGCTCTTGTCCGATCGAATAGTGAGATCTCACCATCAGTTTTATATCGCACCTATGGCTCCAAAGTGCGGAGCGTATTTTTATGGCACGCTAACCTCTACACACATATATATATATATATATATAGGCCATGGCCTTTGAATTTATTATAGTTGGAAAACAGGTAAAATCAATCAAATTTCACGTGATACTTCAAAATATAAATAAAAACTTGAGAAACTTTAATCGTAATTTATTTGTAGTTAAACACAAAGCTACACAATGGGTTATCTGTGTTCTGTCCACCACGGGTATCGAAACCAGGTTTCTAGCGTTGTAAGTCCGCAGACATACCGCTGTGCCACTGGGAGGCATCGTAATTGAAGTTCACCACTTTAACATATTTTTTACTGAAGAATCGTAGAAAGTAAAAAAAAACAAATCGAGTAATTTGTACACACGAGTGATGACAATCGGGAAGTTAACATATCAACATTCCTTCAACAGTATAGCCAGGTATATAACATATTAACAGTCCTTCAACGGTGTAGCCAGGTAGATAACATATTAACATTCCTTCAACAGTATAGCCAGGTATATAACATATTAACAGTCCTTCAACGGTGTAGACAGGTATATAACATATTAACAATCCTTCAACGGTGTAGCCAGGTATATAACATATCAACAATCTTCAACGGTATAGCCAGGTAGATTAGATATTAACGGTCCTTCAACGGTGTAGCCAGGTACATAACATATCAACAATTCTTCAACGGTATAGCCAGGTAGATTAGATATTAACGGTCCTTCAACGGTGTAGCCAGGTACATAACATATCAACAATTCTTCAACGGTATAGCCAGGTAGATTAGATATTAACAATCCTTCAACGGTGTAGACAGGTATATAACATATTAACGGTCCTTCAACGGTGTAGCCAGGTATATAACGTATAAACAATCCTTCAACGGTGCAGCCAGGTAGATATGATATTATCGGTCCTCCAACGGTGTAGCCAGGTAGATAAGATATTAACGGTCCTTCAACGGTCTAGCCAGGTAGATATGATATTATCGGTCCTCCAACGGTGAAGCCAAGTATATAAGATATTAACGGTCCTTCAATGATGCACCCCGGTTCTCCTCCGGTGTGTACCCCGGAAGGTAAAATATTAACAGTTCTTCAATAGTGCATTCAGAAAAGACAACATACTAACAATCCTCCCAAAATGCTTTGGAATTTAGGGTCGGTTGTACAATTCTAAAGTAATTATTTGTCAAATTCTATCTAATTAAAATAATAAATAAAGAAAACTTAATATTTATTGTATTTTTGCAATCCCGTTATAGAAAATGACAATTAACGTACACTTTATGTAGACTTCGCAATGTTTGGAGTTGACTTTGATATTAAAGGTAGCAAAAAAAATAAACCAATTTTATAGTTTAAAATTAACTTATTATACATTTCTTTGTAGGGGGCGTCTTATTGGAAAACAACCCATGGAAGTGTGATTGTGATTTAATCTGGCTCTCTCATTGGCTGCGACGATGGATGCGAGAAACACTGCGAGTTCAAGTATTACATTTTGATGCAGTTTTATACGTGTACAATCTAGCAAGACAAGGCACTTGCACAATCCCTGGAACAAATACTGAAATACCAATTATTGATTTAAGACTTAAAGATATCAACTGCTTAGAAAATCAACATAATACAGCCGCAACAAGGAATATCCATTTTATGGGGCCTTTTGTAATATGTGGAGTAGCTGTCATGCATTGGTGTTCTCAATATATGTCGTGATGAAATGTCAGTTATGTTTTGATTATTACTGTTTTGACTTTATAGAGTATTAATATGTCTGTTGTTTTTATTTAAAACCTGGAAAGCAATAAAGTGCTAAGTCTTTTTACTTTTTTATCCTCTTAGTAAGTTTGTCTATTTTAAAATTTACTGCGTATATGTGCATTTATAGAGACACCCTTGGGCTATTCTGAATGTAAAAAGTATCCAAAACTTTTCATAGATTTGCTTACTGATACCCACCAATTACAATCTTTGGGAATGTATAAGCGAATAGATGATATATATATACACACTTACAAATGAGACAGTAAGATCGAAGCTCTCAACATCCGTTACACTGCCACGCTGTATGTGTGCAATACAATACTTTGATGCTGCCAAAGGTGAACACGTTTCAAGAAGTTTACACCAAAGCTTTTCTGAAGATAAATTCCTGTATTATGAACTACAAAAACACATCGTGAAGACGTGTCGAGCCGAAATTTTCATTTGGACTTTTATAATCTGGTGGGATCCAGCTTGGCATCAGAACGAAATATTAGTATACAGTTGGCGGATTGTTCTTGCATACTGTGCATAACTTGATGTTCTAAAGATTTTGGCTTCAAAAAAATTCCTATCGGAGAAATTCACTAGATACTCTCAATCAAAATGTTATGTCTTCTAAAAACCTATCCATAACTCACCATTAAGCTCCCGTTAACTTTTATGGAAATATATTGTCAAGTAATAGTGGTGTATCACGAAATCGAAATTCAAAGCTAACTTGTTAAACACGTTTTTGCCTTCACTTTAATACAAGTTCTCGTGTTTGAAAGACAATTAGGTAGTAAATATGTCGGTAGTTGTGTTATCTTTTGTTAATAAAGTTGTGTTGAACAATTCTGTTAATCTGTCTGTCTAATGGATGGTATGTTAGGACTAATGGAACTCTGTCAGTATGTTGTTTGTCACTAGAGGGGAAACAGTCACCTTGTGATAAACAGAGGGTGTCAAATTGAGCCTTATCAGTGATGTTATCAGGATAGTTCTGTTGGCTAAAACATTATTCATGTCGTTGATTTTAAAACTGAAACCAACGTTGTCAGAACTACTCAAACATAGGAACTGTGCTTTGGGAATAGCGTCATTGGTTTCATAGGGAGAGAGAGAGAGAGATGTGCCTGATAAAAACATAGGGAATTTGTGAGTGAAAGTACTGTAACTTTGTTCTTCTAACAAAAAGGTTTGCATAGGATGGACCAACGCTGGCTACCATGGCAACTTCCTGTAATTTTTGATTCATAATATGAAATTTATACAAGAAGCAACGTATGCCCTCCAACAGGTACCATACATTTACAATTAGTAGTCATGGAAACCAAAATGGGTCCATCCTATGCAAATCTTTTTGGTTGGTCATATAGAACTAATTTACAGTAAATTCATTCACAAACTCTCTATTTTTTTTATCAGGTACGTCGACGATATTCTGGGTCTTTTCACTGGAAACAAAGAACAACTCGAACTTTTCATTCAACTATGTTGAGACTTACCATCCATTACCCAGATTTACTTCTCAAATTTCTGGTCAGAATACTAGTTTTTTAGTTATTACTATTGACATTTCCACACCAACACGTACAACTATCATACATTACAAACGTACTGACAGTCATTCGTATTTGAACTTCGATTCTTTTTATCCCCCTGAAAACACGCTATTCCCCCTCCCTGTGTTTGAGACGTCTGTGTTCTGACAACGTGGACTTCAGTTATAAAGGCAACGACATGATTAATTATTTTAAACAACAGAACTACCCCGATAACATCGTTGATAAGTTTAAATTTGATACCCTCAGTTTATCAAAAGCTGTCTCCACTCTAATGACGAACCACATACTGACAGAATTCCATTACAACTAACATACCACCCATTAGTTAAAGAGATAGATTAGCAAATTTGTTCGACACCACTTTACTTTACTAGCAAGAGACAACACAAGGAAACAAAATATATAAAAGGAAAGAATAAGGACACAAATTGAAATAAAATAGTCATAATACAAAGATAGGGCGTCCGCGAGTACGTGGGAGG